TGGTGCTCCCCTTTGTGGACTTTGTGCACAGTCTTGTTGTAGTTATGCCTTGGTTGTTGTAGGTATCACTGGGAGGAATTGACCTCCAGGCCAATTGGCTATGAGAATCAGCTGTGTCTGCAGCCGGAGAACTTACGTGCAGGAGACACCCTTATGGGGCAAGACTTGCTTCAGTGGGGCTTTGGTGCTCACTGAGTCTGACCCCTGAGTATGTCCCTTATAGATCTGAGGAGTTGTAATTGGATGGTCCCACTCTGACCACTGGGTACACTGGCTCTTGGATCTAAGGAGGTGCTGATCTAGCCCCTGCCTGAGGCTACTGAGCAGAAGCCAGCTGTAAAGCGATGCAAGTTGCCTGGGGCCTTCAGGCAGCTGCAGTTTATTAAGTACTTTTCAGATTACAAAGGGCCAGACCTTTCACATGCAAAAGCCTCTGGGAAGGGCTTGGGTGGGACAGGGTCCCAGGGGATCAACAGGGCAGTCAGATCGAACAGTATGGCTGCTCTCAGTCCTGCCTTCAGAGGTCCCGGCAATGGCTGAGAGTGCCTCCGAGAGAAAGCTGCCCTCGAGTTACGACCGATGCCAGACAGTCCCGTTTCTCCCGTATCAGTCTGGGTCCCCAGATACTCACCCAGAACTGGAGCTCAAAGCTTGAGACTCCCTCCCGATTGAAAAAGACAATCGTGTCCTCAGCCGCCAGCCCTCTCTGCATGCACCTCCACACCTTTGTATTTTACTTCTGCACTGCACATCCTCTGAGTCTCGGTATGCTTTTCTCTTTCCTTCTAGTTGTAGAATTTCCACTCAGCCAGTCTTCCTGTGGTTCTGGATGATGTCCGTTCCATCTCTTCGTTGTATTTTTGAAGTGGTTGTTCAAAGCAGCAAACTCTGGTATTTACCTATGCCACCATCTAGGTTTTCTGGTTCTCCTTTCTTAATAACCAAAACAAATAAACGTTTGTTCTCTGAAAAAAGAACAATCCATACGTTTTTGTTTAAAAAATTACCTGTTTAAAAATATGCATGTGTGGGAAACCCAAAACGTTAATAGGGATTCTCTCTGGACGGTAGGGTCGTGGGTGTGTCCCAGTCATCTATTGCTGTGTAGCACAGCACACCTAATTTTAGTGACCTAAAAGAGCAACTTATTATTGTCTCATGGTCCTGAGGACTGTCTGGCCCCAAAGTTCCCACTGAAGGATCTCACGTTGCAGTGAGATAGTGATGTGCTGGAGTCATCCAAGGTTTCGTTGGGCTAGACTTTCCCAATGGGTCGCTCGCACTGCCAGTAGTTGGTGCTGGCTGTAGACAGGGAGCTCAGTTGGGGCTGCCACCTGGAGTACCTCCGTTTGACCTCGGCTTCGTGGGCTTCTCATGGCACCATGGTTAGATTTTAAGAGCAAGCGCTCCAAGAGACAAGGATTGAAAGTTTCCAGTCTCTTAAGGTTCTGATCTGGAAGCCATCACAGAGTCACCGCCACCGTATTCTGTTAGTCAAGCCATCCAGAGCTCATCCACATTCAAAGAGAGGGAACACAGATCCACATCTCAATGGGAGGTGCATTAAAGAGTCTGTAGTCAACTTGAGTCTGCTACTGAATGATTTTAGTTTTCTCCTACATATCTTTAGTATTTAAAGCTTTTATACAAAAAAGATGAATGAATTTTATGATCAAAAAGAAAAGAAAAGCACCAGTGAATAGTTTAAAACAGAGTACCTGTATGTGTTCGCAGGAAAAGGGCTGAGGAAAGAGGACTAAGGCCGTGGGCCCAGGATGAGAGGACACCCCAGGATGTGAGGAGCAGTTTAGTAGATAAGCTGGGGGTTTTCTGGTAAAAGCGTTTACACTCTGATCACCACAGGAGGCTGCTATTGCTCAGACACTGTGGTCCTC